AAAACCAACAACCACATGATAAAGTTTAAATAGCACTGGAATAGCTGCGATTGGTTGTAGTTGGCTTCACAAATGAAAAAAGTGGGAACAAGCAGCAAGAATTTACAAGGCGAACTTAGCACGGTGCGTAGGCAACTGGCTGAGTCAGGTGGGGTCGTTGGAACAATACTACTGAAAGAAGTCTGATGAGAAAATGTGGTGATTTCCGAAATAGCTATCACTTCTACCATTGTTTCAAAAATTATTGTTGCTTTTCCACAATAATGTTTGTTTAAAAACGGTTTCAAGCTCAATAAAAATTATTAAAGAAAGTGAAATGCTTAACTAATTTTTATTCTACTTTTAATACATATATGTATATTTTTACAAGATGTTTATTTAAAAAGCGTTGAATGATTGTATATTTTCAAACAATCGTTGTTTTTGTGAAATCGTTTACAATTTTTTGTTGGTACATTTTTATTTGATTTAGTACATTTTTTCTGACGTTTGGTACAATTTCGAAAAATTCATTTATCATCCCTGACCGTATTAGTTTCGCGGGGATACCAAATTCAGACATCGTGGCATAAAGACAACTTCTCTTCGTTCTGTCGAAGGCGGCTTTAAAATCGACAAAAAGATGGTGTGCGTGTCGCGGGTCTTTTCCAAGATTTGGCGTATTGTGAATACCTGATCTATGATGGATTTGCCAGGCCTAAAGCCACACTGATAAGGTCCAATCAGTTCAATCAAATGCCAACTACTCTTCCAAAAGTCGCTATCATACTTATTTATAAACTTTGAAACGCCTCCATCTTCTGATGAACTGAGAAAGCTGCGTTAGGTCGAATTAATTGATAATGTTATGTTATGTTATGTTTTAGTATTATTAGGCTCTTATTTATCCAATTTTTCAGGTAATAAAAAAAACTCCCGTGAAGTTGGCCCCGAACTTTCGACAAGTGTGAATTTTTTTAGAGTTCTGGCTAGATTTTAAAAAGTTCTAGAGTTCCTGACTGGAAATTGCAATGGTTCCGTGGAACTTCGGGCAGAAATCGAAAAAAAACGATTTGGGGGGCCAAATTCACCTAATTCTGTCACCGTTTACCTCATTTGCTTTTCAGAATTCTAGTGAGAGCTCTGAATAGCCCCTCATATAAAGTTGTTTTGTCCGACCAATAGTAAAAAAGTTATAAGCAAAAACAAGGGGCAAATTTTTATTAACAAAAAAATTTAATTTGTGTTTTGAGAGCTCTGTTGAGAGTTCTGAGTAGCCCCTCGAGAGTTCTAACTAAAACTCCTATACAGTTTTTTGTCCGACCAATAGTAAAAAAGTTATAAGCAAAAACAAGGGGCAAATTTTTATTAACAAAAAAATTTAATTTGTGTTTTGAGAGCTCTGTTGAGAGTTCTGAGTAGCCCCTCGAGAGTTCTAACTAAAACTCCTATACAGTTTTTTGTCCGACCAATAGTAAAAAAGTTATAAGCAAAAACAAGGGGCAAATTTTTATTAACAAAAAAATTTAATTTGTGTTTTGAGAGCTCTGTTGAGAGTTCTGAGTAGCCCCTCGAGAGTTCTAACTAAAACTCCTATACAGTTTTTTGTCCGACCAATAGTAAAAAAGTTATAAGCAAAAACAAGGGGCAAATTTTTATTAACAAATTAGTTATAATCACTTATTAACAATTAGTTAGAACTGCCGAGGGGCTAAACAGAACTCTGAAAAAAAAATGATTTTTATTTTAATAAAAGTTAGCCCCTTGTTTTTGCTTATAACTTTTTACTATTGGTCGGACAAAAAAAATTTTTTAAGANTTAGTTATAATCACTTATTAACAATTAGTTAGAACTGCCGAGGGGCTACTCAGACCTCTCAACAGAACTCTGAAAAAAAAATGATTTTGCTTATAACTTTTTACTATTGGTCGGACAAAAAAAATTTTTTAAGAGTTTTAGTTAGAACTCTCCGGGGGCTACTCAGAACTCTGAAAAACCAATGAAATTTTTTTGTTAATAAAAATTTGCCGCTTGTTTTTGCTTATAACTTTTTACTATTGGTCGGACAAAAAAACTTTATAGCAGTTTTAGTTAGAACTCTCAAGGGGCTTCTCAGAACTCTCAACAGAACTCTGAAGAAAACGAAATTTTTGAAGTGAAACTTCTTAGGCGGCGGTATCGCAAAAATGGAGAGTGAAATTTTTAAAACAGAAAATGTTACATGAGTAAGAAGGAAGATATAGTATACGGAAGGGGAAAAAAGAAAGAAAGCGGCGTATGACAGCTATACAAAGCGATAGCACAAACATCTTTAACGCGCATGCATACCAGTGTTGATATTTTAAGTACTTTTTTCAGTACAATTAGTTTTAAAAAGTAAAAATTTACCGATTTTAAGTACAATTTCAGCATCAAAAATATATTTTGTATAAAACGCTGAAATCTCTGCCACTTTCATTATAAATCCGTTTGCGTTTAAGTAATTAGACAAACCTACATTTCAGTTCTGGTACAAAACGAAATTCTGAATAGCAATTTTGAAAGTAAAAGTGATTGTGAATGGTAATATTAGTGTTGATCGTTGTGGTTATTGCAATTTTTTTTATCGCCGGTGGGTGAAATATCCGCCATCGCTATTTATTTAAAAAAAATCTTTGGAAATGCAGTTTACCTAGTGACAATTCTGCAGAAAATGAAGGAATTGAATAACTCGGGGGTTGAAAGTAAAAAATTTTACGTAAATTGCATACGTTGAAACTAAAAATTTTAACTTTAGACTTCCATTTTAGTATTACTGATCTCATTTAATGTGATTTATTTTCCCTAATATAAACTGATCTATCTTCTGTATTTATTTTTTGTCATTATTATCTTCATATTTGAATATATGTACATCTCGCGACATAATTATACGGTTACCCGGGTTGGGCTTTTTTTATATTTTTTCAGATTAATTTAAATTTTTTTTTATATATAATCTATCTATATATATATAAATGAATTGCTGTTCGTTAGTC